GGTTTGTTTTAGTGTTCTGGATTAAGTTTATAAATGCTGCTTCCATAGCTGATGCCTGACAAGGGATCCAGGCTTCTGCAGTTATTGAGACATAGACCTAGAGTAATTCCAGTCCACTAGGAAGTTAATGTGGGTTTTAGGATGCTGAAAAATGGCTGTTAGTCAGGTCTGAATGCCAAGTGTATATCTCAGACACTGTGGCTCTGCATTCCTGTGGATAAAGGTCCACTCCTTTTTACCCTTGCTCTATCAATAGAAAACTCTGATTTCAAACATAAATGCCATTGCTTAATAGATATGAACCTATTTTCTGTTTCAGAACTATTCTAAACTTTCCACATTCTCATCAATGGGAATGGCCTCATATATGCCCAACTTTCTAGACCACTGTAGAATGTGGAGATGAATCCTAAAATATGACTATGTGAAAGAGGATTTTTTGTCAGTAGAGAATAATAGCACAGGAAACTAGACTGATGTTTGGAACCATCTTAAAAATGGCACTTGTCACTAACTTTTATACTGAGAGCCAAATTTTTCAACACACAGAGCCCTCAAATCCAGGAGGTGATGCTGCTCAGCAGCTTACTGGAGACAAGTACAAAGATTCAGAATCAAATCCCTTGGTTTTGGAGAATGATCCTCTCACAGCAGCAAGTGCTTAGTGTATGTTTGAATCTATTTCATTGTAGATCATTTAGAATATTCAGAAAGAGTTGGTCTTATGTTTTCTGTGAATACCAATAGCAAGGTCATTTCTTATCTGTCCATTGTAATTATTGAAAATGTGAAAAAAAGGCATCTCTTTTTCTTCTAACTTCCATTCAGCACTTTTACTGTCACCTTTTTAGGTGTGCTGTGGTTTGTATTCAATAGGTTTGATTGCTATAGAATACAAACCAATGGGTAAAATATTTTAGCATCTATCTGTCTGCTATAAAAAAGACCTGATTTTTCTCATATGTAATTTAGTCTGTGTCTCCTCTTGAAAGAACTGTGCACGGATGTAAAATAGCAAAGTATAATGCTAACCAATTACACTGATTTATTATAATCCAGTAAAATTAAAGCTGTTTGGCACAAATGGACAGTAACACAGTAACACAAACTGTTACTGCTGCAGTGTTTCTGTGTGGAGACAGATTAAGGTGTTACAGAAATGCAGAAAACACAAAGAAATTGAAGAGACTGTGTTGACAACAAAACAAATCATTAAATAGAAATGAGCCCCTGTTATATCTAGGTCTTGTTCCCTCACCCAATGACTGCAAAGATCAGGGCTTAATTTATACTTGGGTAAGTAAGTATTGAGTGTGTGGTATAGATTCCCTACTGCGTCTTACACAGATTTAACAGAGGGGGTCATGATGGAATAAAAAATTCCTCCATTCCAAAACTATCCCAAAACACAACATTTTCTGTTGTTGGACTTGATTTTAAGCAGAGGTGAGGTGAAGCTTTGCTCTCTCTCAGTCTGCTATGGCTCAAATTAAAAACTTCACAAAAATTAACACCAGCATTTCAAATGCTGCAGACTACTTCTTTTCATTGTAAGAAAAGGCAGAAATAATAGCATATGAATAGGTGCTGAGCTATTTTAAAGATAGTGCTAAAGCATGGTTTTACAAAGTCTGTGTGTAAAAGCCCACAGGAGTTTGGCTTGTAAGGAGCATTGACAAATAACTGTTGTTAAGAGACTGAACCTTTCACATTCAGAAACTCTACCAGACAGTGCCCTCCTTACACCATCGGACATTTTGCTCTGAAGAAGGGTGTTCATCATTCAAGGCCTGATCTTGCAGTTAACTGGAGGATGTTGCCAGTGGCATCACCTTGCCTACGCTCTGCCTCCATGCGTGGTGTTGATCATCCCAATGAATCTTCAGAACCTGAACTATCATCTGATCAGTTTTCAAAATACTTCTTGCCAAAACAATTCTATTTTTCCATGGCTTTCTATTGGGAAACACACCATTCCTTGGAGATTGTAGGGCTCCCTAAGTCAAACATGGCATGCAGTGTTTCTTCTCATTAGAATGAAAATTCTGCATATTTCAACAAAGTTAAAAGTAGATGTCCTGAGGTTTATTCACAGGTCTGATACTCAGAAAATCAAGTTGCATTTCTTTGACATTAAATCTTTTAATCTCGTTACAATGAACAAAGCCAGCTTTTTCAGCCTCCACAACAAAGACAATACTTTTTCTTCCCCCTAACTGCTATTTATCTTGTTTGCAAACTTCAGTTATAAACTTCTTGGGTCTGTTAATGAGTGCCTGACTGTTTGTACAGAGCCTGGGACAGTGATCTGATTGAGACTTCAGGAAGTCACCAAAGTTCAAATAACAGCAGTAACATTCTGGTATGAGTCAACTGCTGAAAATGCTCCTGTGAGGGACTGGTTAATTAAAGGTCTGCCATTACTGTGACTTTGTTCCATCACAACCAACTGTTTAGTGCCTGAATCATGGGTTACATGTAGCCTGCATTTATTAAATGAAATGTACTTTTGCTAAAGAGTTACAATTTTTGATACATGCTTCTTTCATTTTATCTGTCCTCACCCAGAGCAGTTTCCCACTGATGTTTTCCTGCTTCAAATAATTGTAGAGCCATTGTTGAGCTGAATGGTAGGATTGGACGCAAGAAGATAAAGAATTACTTTGTCCTAAAGTTGCACATGGATAAGACATCTTTTCAATATAATATCCTTCTATCTTTCATGCTTTTCAAAGAAGTTTGACATTAAAAGGAAAGCCAAAAGAAGTAAAGATTAAGCCAGAGATAATTTATATTTCAAAATAAAGAATCAAAATTATTAGTAGTAATATATGAGTTGTAGCTAGACTAATTTGTTTTTAAATCTTTAGCCAGTATATGTGAATCTATGATTAAGTTCCACTATTTTCCAAAGCATTACTAAAAATACTTAAGGAATACAACTAAATAAATAGCATTAAAAAGCCCAAATATTTTGATGTGTTACCTTGGATTTGAGAGCAGTTACTTCCTTTGCCCATATCCTGTTGTGACTACAGAAGGATGTTTTCAAAAGACAAAAAAAAAAAAAAAACCAAACTGACCTTTTGATGATTTTATTAACTTAGGGACCCATGACAATTAGAAATATGAGCATAGAGGAAAAGTGTAATTAAGTTTACTCTGCTCCCATTTATTTAATAGCATTTTTATTTTATGTCTAAGGTGGCAGAGAATCTGATAGAAAAACAATTTAAAAAAGCTCATAATCTTTCCAGCCTTTGTTTTCTGAGAACACTGCCTAATGCTCTCTGTTACCTGCATCCTTTTATCTTTAAGAAGGCCATTCCAGACAGGTGATTTTGTTAAAATCTAAGCTCCCAGTGTGAGGCCTGAATTTCAGAACCCGTGGAAAGTGCACTCTCTGAAAGAAACAGCCTCTTTTTCAGGTGTCATCAATAAAGGTCTAAAACCTGATTAAATTCTCTGCCCTTAGATTTTGCTTAAAGGTGTAAACATATGGTTTGTGAACTTGCAACAATGTCTTTGAAACCAAAAGTCATTCTGAAATATGTATATGAGGACAAAATAAAAGGTTTCATTGTTTAAGAGACAGACACCCCTGGTTCCTCCCCCAAATTACAGCATTGCCTTGAAACCAAAGAAAGAATGGTATGGATTTTTCCAGTTCTGATGACACTTGGTGTGTCCTTTGACATTCAGGATCATCTCTAAGGAGATACTTCCTTTACAACTGTCAAATCAAGTCAGGGAAATCCAAGTTCACAATTAAGCAACTTCTGCTGCCAGACAACCCTTTGGAGTATAAAGATACTGAGCACCAGGTTCCTGTATGCCAGTTGACTTATCTGCTTAAGAAGCATGGAATTTTATGTGTGGGTTTAAAGTGATAAGATTTATCTGGTAGAGAAGATTATGTATGCACATTGCAGTGCTACTGGCTTGCTTCACATTAACGAGGAGTAGGTTTAAGATGAATCAAAATCAGTCTTTAAACTGAAGACATCTATTTAAATTAGAGTTAAAATTATTGCTGGAACTTTTGCATATAGACAAATAGTTTCAGTAATATGAAAGTAAGTTAAAAATGAGGACTGAAGTTTAGTCTCCATGATCAGACTTGCAAATTAAGGTACCAGCTTTTCCTTGACTTTAGTGGGAGTCAGAAACATGATTGGTTTGAAAACTGTACCACTGGACAGGTAGGGATGGAAATCTTCTGGATTTCCTATGAGTCTGTGTCAGTCTGACTCCTGTGAACTTATGTAGCTTTGGAAATTGAGACTTGGCCCTTTCAGCTGTTAAATTTTACCTGTTAGCTGTCAAATTTACCCTGTTACTTGTCTGAGAGAAATTAATCTGTCAGCAGTGCAACATTTCTTCATAAAGTAGGTGGAATTCTGTGTATGTAGAATTTGTCTTCTTGCAACCTGCCCTTAATTCAAAGTGAGTGGGGACTTGTTTGCTTTCTTTGCTGTGTTGAGTCTGGCTTTTCTAGGTCTGGCTTCTGTGATGTGAGCCTATTCTATTTTGTGGAGTATCTGTAGAAAATCTTCAATGCTACGCTTTCTTTCCCCACTGCTTCCCTTGGGCACAAGCAGCACAGTAACAGACTGAGCTCCTCCTTCTTTTGCCTTGAAGATGTTTAGCAGAGATGATCTTTCAGATTGCAAAATATGTGACCTTTGCACAATGCCATGGCTCATTTCTGTGGCCTGTAGAAAATTGCCCCGCTAATGCTGTTGTAACAGAGAATTTTCTCTCAAAGAATCTGGTTTAAAGGGTCCTATTAACTGAGAGGGATTAAAGCAAACAGAACAAATCTGGCAGGGAAAGTAGATTCCAAAGTTCCAGCCTTTCCATACCTGTATCAGTTGCAATGTGGCATTCTGGCCAGGAGATGATCCTTCAGTAATTCCCATAAGGACCTGCAGATAGATAGTAATAATTCTTAATGTTTTCATTAATACATAGCCAATACATTTTCCTTCCTTGCCAAGGATCCCATATAACCATGGTGCCTATATACTCCTTGATGGGACCTTTCAGAAGACACATGAGTCTCAAAAGTAGCCGTAAGTATTCACATTATTAAAAAGTGACTAAGTGCTTTAATTTTGGAATAACAGCTTAAATATTTTGATACTATTAAAATACATATTTTATTATTGAAATAAGTCCTTCTAGTATCTGCTCTATATCTCACTGTCTTAATTTAGACAAACAGCATTCCTGTTCAGGATGTTTGCCAAGCTCCTGTGGAAGAACTGCTGGAAAGCTGTTCTGCCTTAAACTTCTCTTCGCAGAAACGCTGTTTCACTGCACCTTCTCCAAGTCCATATTCCCACTTGTAGGAATTAACAGTTAACAGTGGTATAAACCCCTTTCAGTATAGCAGGTCTGCAGTTATGTTTTAGTCTTCAAAGAGTAAAATAATTGATGTGTTACAGGGAACAGACTTTTACCCCAGTAAGAAGCAAAAAGCAGTGGCTTTGAATCAGCAGTCTGGTGAGAAGCAAAGTCACCTCCTGTGTTTTTCAGAAGCCTATTTTTGGTTTTCAGCTACATAGAAAAGACATGTTTTATCACTGTCATTGTGTATCAGTCAAACTTTAATACTGCTACAACTGGATTTATGGTATGACATTATACCTCTAGACATGATATATTCTCCAGACATGATCTGCAGAGGTAATCTCTTGCAATTCAATCAAGGGAAACTAGGTAAATTAGTCATCACACAAGTACACATTCAGGACTATAAGAAGTTGCTAGGAAAGCCATTATAAAGTTGGAAATAAAAAAAGAATCACTGTTGAGGGGCTTGTCACTGTTCTTTATTATTTGTTCTTGGGTCCTGGTTTCCTGGAGATCTTTCCTCACGTGTAGAAGCAAAATATTAATGTATTAGAAGTACAATAGTCCTCTGAGTTTGGAAAGATTTTCAAAAGCAGGCAACTTTCTGTACATAGATCTGTGCTCATATATAGAAAATGTTGAGACTCTGAAATGCTGAAAACTTGGATCAAGCAATTTGCTGAATGTTGCTGCAAATGAGATCTGTGTAAGGCAGCAGAAAATACAGAACTAGGATTCTGTTCAAAAATGGGCTTAAGAACATTGCCTGTCTTTACAGCACACAAAAGGGCTGTTTCAATTTGACTTGATGTGTGTTTGCACCATCAACAGAGCCTCTTAACAGGGCTACTTAAAATTCCCAGTAGATTTCAGTTTCTCATTTCCTTCAATTTGAAGTTGCTCAAAGAAAACATTAGAAAAAAATTGTTTGAAAGTGTAAACTTTCCAGTGAGCTCAAATAAGACGGCCCTCTGTAATGGTGGGAAATACTTAGTTGGACACTCCCTAAGTCTCCTAATTTCATTGTTTTTTACCCTTAAAGCCTTTTCTTTGAGAAAGGGATGTACTTTTTCATGTCCTCTCTTCAGAGAGATTGGGATACAAAAACACAGAATAACTTGCCAAAGTTCAGCAGAAAGTCTCTGGTGAAGAAAGGAATTTGATTTTTTTTTTTTTCCTTTCCTTACATAGGAATAACCACAATGTAACTTATTGCACAATGTCAGTAATTTTCTGGACACAGCATAGAGTTAGATTTTAAGAAAGAAAAAATTAGATTAAACTACTAGTGCCTTGTGTATCTTTAGCATTTCAAATTGGGGCAGTTATTCATTTTGAGAAGAATGTTCTTTTTATAAATGGATTTTCCCTCCCTTTTTAATCTTTGGATATTTTTTAGATTATCATTTCATTCTTCTGCCATACTTTTTCACTGAATATATTGAAATCAGCTTGTCACTGCCAATCAGGGAAAGATTTAGGGCATTTACCAAAATACTTTTTTCTTTCCCTTAGTGACAAGTGCCTCTAGCTGCTGTGATTTAGGGCTTGAACTCAGGAGAGCCACCCCACTTTAAACCAGCTAGAGATGGTGATGGATGTTGCCGAAGAGCTTGTTCCAGTTGTTTTTGCCAGCAGGAGGTTACAGCACAGCTGGCAAAATTAATGGAAAAAAATTAATTTTAGAAGTTTTGAACAACTACAGGTCTCCAGCATGTAAGAGCTTTAGAACAGAATAGTACTGATTTTAACTATTTTATTTCTTTATTATGGCATTGACACCAGTGAGTGGTTTCCCTGAATAAAATTGGACATGCAAAGGCTCATGATTAGAAAGTTTTTCAGCTTTGTATTTGTCTGCTTCAGGCATCAGATTCCATTGTGGTGCCTGTACTATCATGCTCAATTTAACTGAGACAAGAGGAAAATGCAATTTTCCCAGAATGCTGCACCAAGTTGTCCATTCTTCATAGCAAACATGGAGTCAGCACTTCTGCTGATGCCTCTGCACCTGCTTGTGTGCTGGTGGAACCACTCTGGCTGTGCCTGTGTGTTCCATGCACAATCAGAATGGGTGGCCCTGGAGCTGAACAGCACCTTTCTTCAGCTGGTCATGTTGGGATGTGCTGCTGCTCCTGGACCAGCTGTTGAAAACAAGTCTTCATGTCAATGCCCTTCTGGAAGACTTAGAGTCACTTGCAGGAATACATCAGGGAATAATACTAAGTGAAGCAACAAATGCAGCATCAGGTGTCCTGTCCAGCTCTTTCTTAGGGTGTTTGTTCAAAAGATGACACCATAAATTGAATTTATTCAAGCTCCTTGGCAGTGAAAAGCAGTTTGAATCACAGGCTCACTTTGGTAGGCAAGAGATAAGAAAAAGCAACACAGCAAGGATGCAGCCAAACTGAGATTAGAAGGATTGATTCCCAGACTCTCAACTCTAGGTCTCCTTTTCCTTCAAAGCACAATAAAAGCTATGAAACAAAGTTATTAGCTTAAATCGTACATTGGGGACTTGAACATTGAAACAATCATTTATTTTGTTGGCTCAGAAATCCAAATCTGGATACGGTTGGATGGGCTGATTATCTCAGTGTAAGGGTCATTCTGGGTCTGTAGATGGAAAGTCAGGCCCATTAGGTTTCTGATCTTCAGTATTCTGTTGATTTTTTTAATACTATGTGCTGGTAACTTTCCATCTACAAATCCTGTCACGAATTTAGAGGATTTTGAGAAAGAAATTTTTTTTTGCTTGGAAGCAGATTGAAAGAAAATTAACTATCTTAGCCACACTGACAGGTTAAAAATTAGGAGTAAATGCTTATCTGCTTCTTCATTTCGTTTTCTGGGTTAATGAACTTAGGTCAGATGCAGAGACACATTTTTCTGAATCTGGGAATTCTGTCAAATTAGAGATTCAGAGGGGCGTCATGGTCAGTCTGTGGGTAACACAATTCAGTTCCATGATCTGGTTCCTCTTCTGGCCCTACTCCTGTCCTTGTCTGTATCCAGTCCATTTATCTAACTACAAGTGCTCACGATGGGTCTGGTATCACCAAGAGGTGAGATAACAATGTGCATTTTTCAGTACTTTGTAATATTATGTAATAACACTATTAGCATTAATAATAGTATTAATGCTCTCTACTGATATTTAATACTCTCTGGTATTTAATCTTTCAGAGGGTAAATGCTTTTTATTTTATCAGATATTAAACAGTGAGATCCTCTGTTATTCTCCAGAGTTCAACAATATCAAAGGCTTGTGCACTACTTATTGCAAGCCATAATTCTCAGGTAATCAAAAACATGAAAATTGGGAATAATCTGCGATTTGTTCATGTTACATTCTGCGCTATTCTTACTTTTTTAAATAAAAGAATGCTTACTTGATGTTACTGCAAGCAGGAGAGGATAAATATTACAGTATTTTCAGAACTATTATTACCTGAGACATTGCTTGTTCCACTGAATAAACTTAGATTTTTTTCTCTCTCAGCTTTTTCTCCTGGACCTTCCTACAAGCTCTCCAATCAGCACATCATTCAAGACCACATGGCTGCTCATTTCAAGAAGTTGATGTCTGCTGAAGGTGTGTACAGTCTTTAATTATGACAATATCTGTGTAGGTAAAAGGTGAAATCAGAGTAAAGGATTTATGTTGGTTGCCCTATTTTTGGCTGGCTGCTGAATTTCTTCCCCTTTCCTTCCTCCCTCTCTCTGTCACTAACTCAATAGGAGTAGGAGGATTTAAAAGTGAGGCATAAAATGATGTGCCCTAAGAGATATGTAGAACACTCAGTTGGAACTGTGACCTTGTCTTGGGAGAAGCTTGGGTGAATTCTGACTGTTGAAAGATGTAAAGTCTATGGCAAGAAACTGTTCCACCAAATGACAAGTTCATGTTAGGAAGAGAAATATTCTCTAATTGCCCTGTACTATTTTACTTGTAATTTCTGTTTAGGAGTATATGGCAGTGGACTAACAGGAAAGGTAAAATGAGAACTAGGGCAGGTGTTTGTTTAACTGGGAGAAACCACTGAACAGTAACAGTGGGGTTGCAGCTTTTCATGTTTAGAAAGTTACAGCATCAGTCCTAAGTAACCTAGAGGGAAGTTCCACTAACCACATGTAGTCATGTTCCTGATGGCTCTTCAAATGCTGTCCCTACTGCAAATAGCCACAAACGACTAGAAAGAAATTTCAGAATTTAAATGTCCTGTGTCAGTTGTCTGCAGCTGTGTAAGCTTCCAGGTACTTCAGGTGCAGATGAAACAGGTGGAGTTGAATGGCCATAGCTGTAATTAGGTTCCTGCAAGACTTCCATCCCCTGGGCTCCAAAGGCTTTCTGACCAAAAAATTCACTGATCTCATGCAGTGAGCTTTATAATAACACAAAACTGTAGAACAATAGATGGGATTGCTGCTGTGGTTTTTGGGGTTATTTTGGGTTTTGTTTTTTTTTTTGCCAGGAGAGAAATCCTTTTGTAAATTTGCAGTGCCAAAAGCTTTATCTCAAGTTACCTTGCTCAAATACAGTGCATCTTTTCATTGTAGTGTCGGAATAATTCTTTGAAAGTTTTATGACCTCCACCATGCCACAGTTCATGACCATCCCACTCATATTAGGAGGTGGAAGCTGGATTGCTGCTGTGTACTTTTGTATGCAAGTGACTTTCACTTTTTCATGGCTAATGTCACAGAAACAGTGAACTCTAGGAACTGTAGAATTCACATCCTAGAGCTTTACTTATAAATATACAGAAGCATCAGGACTAATTAAGAGCAGCAAACACTGCCATATATAATTGAAATTTTATTCTCAACTGGTGAAGTCTAAATGAGGGAGTGAAGGTCAAAAAATAAAAGGAAAGTAACAGAGGTGTTTTTCAGTCTTTTTGTGAATTACATTCTTACAGCTCAGAAGAGACTACACAAAAGATATTCTTCGTATAAAAGGAGCCAAGTGCTTTGTTCCCAAGCAGGTTTCAATTCTTTTTTCAAATGTCAGTCCTGTTCCTCTGCAGCAAAATTCAGTCAATCTGGAAAGAGCTTCTCACAGTAGGTGCTAATCAAAATTTCCAGTGGCTAGAATTTCTAATTCTTAGGTGTTTCACAATCTGAATTTACAGTTCTCAAAAGTCAGATTTGGAATCTTTAACCTTAAAACACTTATTTTACTTATTATAGTGCTACATGAATCACACAGATTTTAATTGTAGCGATAACTTTTGCATGCATATCAAAAACTGCAATATTGCAAGAATATCAAGGTTTCTTCTGTACATACCTGATGCTGTGAAATGCTGATTTGCCACCTGCTCTGTACAGCTTTACAAGAGATTATAGAATTTTGTGCCTCTGAAAAATCTGGTCAGGATATAAAATGCCTTCTCCAGTATCCTTCTAAATATTCTCCAATCTTTTTGAAATGCATCTGCTTTTTAAACTACAACTTGTTTGGCCTCACTCCAGACAGTGACCAGCCCCACATGTCCAAAACTTTTGAGCATTTGTACAAACTACAATTTGCTTTGACATTTAGCAGTAATCACAAAAATAAAAGATGGAAATTAAGTCAGTGTCCTTCAAATGCAACTGGAATGTTGATCTTCTAGGAGATTGCTTTTCCCTCTACAGTAAAAAATACTATTGCCTCAGTTATATCCAGGGATATGCAATCTGACGTGGAACTCCTTACCATCCTTAACATCGCCTGTATGGACACAGAACTTAATGAAGGCTGAAGAATGCTTGATTCCTTGAAGCTTACTCCATTTAATCTTTTACAATGAAAACCAAATTACCACATAACAGAAAACGTGGTGTGCAAAACTGTCTGTAATTGTGCAATGAAATAGTTCCTTTTGCTAGGAAGACCGATGACCTTGAGCCTCAGGACATCTTGAATCATATCTTGGAGAATCAGTTGGCAGTTTCCCCTCTCTGATAGCAGCTGCTTACTCATCCATGAAATATAAACTTTCTGGGTAGTGGTACATGCCAATACAAAATTAATACAGCTTTTCTTAAATTGTAAATTAAAATGAAGGTTAATAAATGTAGCCATACTGGCTCTAATTTCTACACCTAAGTAGATGTGGGTGAAAACCACAAAAATCAGATCCAGATTTGATACTGAACCAGTAACAGCACTGCTGAGGCACTTATCTTATGCTTTCATGCAGATAGAAACAATAGGTCAAATCCTCAAATAGTATCATTGCAGCTATAGTTGGACTAACTCAACTAATTTCACAGCATTTAATGCATGCCAGATTTTGAGAACTGACCAAGGACAAAGATAATAGAAGAAAATGGTGTTCATCAGTAGAGAAAAATTAGAATTTGGTGGTCAGTAGATCTGCATTATTTATTAATTATGCTAATATTATGCAGTCTGGTACTATATTCCATAGGGAATTGAAAACCTTAGGATTATCACTTTCATCTCTGCCCATTTTGCTATGATTGTGTTGTTAGTGTTTCATTGGACTGAACCTACTTTTTGTTAATACAGCTGCTGTTGATTCATCTGCACCAAAGTGTTTGCATACCAGTGTTAAATGTGAGTAGTTTTATTTCAGTTTGTTTTGAAAATAGGTCTGCCTCCATTTGTTTGGTTTGGAAACGCTTGTCTTCTTTTACGGTAAAGGTGTTCTGAAAAGGCATATATGTGCCGAAAATATGCCTCTTCTGGGTTAAGATAATAGTATCTGGTATCTAATCTATTATCTAACTTAATTGTATCCAGCGCTTGGGTCCTGTTTGCAGAGATACAAGCTAACCTGCAGTGTGGGACCTGCTGAAACACCTACTGCAAGCAAGGCTGTTGGAGTCATAAATTGCTGTAGTTTTCCAGTCCAAATTCAGGCCACTGGCCCTTTGAATCCCTTGCTCTTTCACGCTGCGTTTTTCATTCCCCTAGCTGCTCCATGTGTCTGGGGACATCGGGCACACGTCCGCTGAAACAGGTTTTGAGGAATAAATGGGGCTTTGGTAAGAGAACCTTGCACTGCACCTTAACGCCACCTCTTGGCTGAAGCCCGCAGGACCCAAAGTCAAGGCAGAGTCTCTCCTGCCCTTCTCTTTTTGGTAGGAAGGAAGATTGATGAAAAGGAACCCGTTCATACATTTGCCTGGAAACACAGCCTTCACTTTGGAATGAGTTTAGTTTCCATCATTCACCACGTTGTGATGCAGATTCTTCTTATCTCTATTCTGTCTTATCTTTCTCTGGTAGTTACATACAAGGCAGGACACACGCTTCCTACACAGACACCTCCTGTTTTAAAATGAAATTGAAAAAGCTGAGAAAATGGAAACTCCAGTTTTTCACAGTGCGTGCATAGTGGGATCCATGTATCCAAGACCCACAGAGGGCCGTTGCTCTGAGCAGGGCATAGCGCACTCGGAAGCAAAGATAGCTCGGGGGCAGTGGCGACATGCAGTTGTCCCAGCAAGATGCACACAAGTCAAGAAGGCAAACATAACCCTTGCCCACAGAGTCAGAAAAATGTATCATACGAGATCCTCATTAGACAGGAGCAAGAGAACAAGTTCAAGATCCTAACACATTACAAACAAAACTTCCTTCAGTTGGTTTTTTAACTCCTCACACTCAGCAGTGTTTTCCTTTTTTTTTATCAGAGCTGTCTTTTGTATAATAAAGATTAGTATTTTTCGTTAATCAGTTTAATAGTGATTAAACAGTGTTCTAATAATAGAAATAAATGCCATGGAAAGTTTTCTGAGAACATTAGTTTGAGAGAGAGATGATCCTGACATAGAAGTGCATGAGGAGTAGAATCTCACCTCCTTGAGAATATCAAGACATAGAGTTTGTTCAGCTGGGTTTGCCACAATAGCAAGTGTTCCTAGATGATATATCAGAGGGAAACATTATCTGTGTTTCTTAAAATGCTTTCTTAGGAAGATATTCATCTTACAGAGCTAAGCAGAATCAAACTGGTTTGTGCAGTTTTTGTTAATTTAGAAGCCCACACTGAGTACAAGGTGCCTGATGGTCATAGGAGCCACAACATGATACTCCCAGTCAGAGAAAGTGAGGACCCAATACAATTTTTATCAGTGTCCTGCTGGTGAAATGCAAATCACCTGTGTCATTTAATATTTTTCTTCATTAAAAGGTACTATATATGAGCTAAGTCTTTTTTCTGACAATTTAGCTGCAGAAATGTCTGCCTCAGCAAAAGAAATTTTATTCCTCAAGGAATAAAACTCAAAATTTAGAAGTCACCAGGAAAATGTGCATGAGGACTTCTGTGTTCTGAAGTGTTAAGTAAGGCAGTAGCACAATGGAGGTACAGTTCCTGCTTTTGGGGTTGATGTGCAAATCATTTGAGCAGTATAAAATTACGTTATGCCTACAAAAATAGGCTTCTGTTTATTATTTGCATAATCAAATATGATTTGCATAAACAAAATAAATTAAGTCTGTTTTGCCAGCCTACTAGGATAATGGAAGGGCAAAACTAATTTTCTGCTTAGTACAAGATTACAGCATTTTTTTTCTTTTCATGTACGATTTTCTCCCACAACTATCTCCCACTGTTACTTTTGCTAGTTACTAAATGTGGAGTGCTTTTAAAACCTTGACATTTATTAGAACTTTGACAGGTACACATTCTGAAACCATATATTTTCTTATCTGTTCTCAATCCATACAGTCAGTTAGATATAACCTTGTTTTCCAAATGTGTGAACTGGAACTGTGTTGGATTTTTCCAAATGTGTTGATCTGTGTTGGATACCACACGTTTCAGTGATAGGCTGAAAAGAAAAATCAGGTCACTTGGTAGTGATGGAGACATACAAAAATCTGTAAAACTAAAGAGAAAGACTGAAAGAGCTACAAAGATTAGTTCTGAGGAGCCAGAAGAAAATACAGAGTGCAACACTTTGTTTCATTTTTGAGAATAAATGCACAGCAGATAAAACACTGTAAAGAATTTGCTAATATTTCCTATAAATAAACTGCACCATTTCGCAAGGCATCTGTAGTGTTGCACTGTAGATTCAGAACTGCACAAAGTGAGAGATGTGCAGTGGGTAGGACTTTCTCCTGAATGTGTTCTGGTATATCTAGGATTTTCAGTTCTAAGCTTTAGAAGGACACTGTTTTAAATTTTTTGCTTCATTGGGCTTTCTGCACTTCTAGATTTCATTAAGCTAATAATGTTGCTATAGGTAAGAGTGCCATCGAATTAGCTGATTTTTTTCACATAAAAATTTTTCTAGTGACCTTTAAGTATGGCACGTAAAGAATAGCAAGTGCCAACTTTCATCAGTTTGTGAGAATAGAATAGAATAGAATAGAATAATAGAATAGAATAGAATGTTCAGCTGAAAGGGACCTACAATAATCATCCAGTCCAACTGCCTGACCAATGCATAGCTGACCCAAAGTTAAAATCTGTTAATAAGAGATTGTTCAAATGCCTCTTAAACACTGATGAGTTTGGGGCATCAACCACCTCTCTGGGAAGTCTGTTCCAGTGTTTGACCACCCTCTTGAGAAGGAAATGCTTCTTGATGTCCAGTCTGAACCTCCTCTGGCAAAACTTTGAACCATTCCCACAATTTGTATCACGGGATGAAATAATACTGAAATAATGGTGAAATAATAGTTGTGTCTCTTTAATGTTAAATTAATATCCAATATGCTCTTGAAATTGCACAAACTTATGACAAAAGTTAGGGAGAAACAGTTAAGATAAAGTTTCCTGATTAGCCACTTCTCTCCAACACAGAGCTGGCTTTGTTGTAGCTGTAAAACTGCATCTCCAATGTCCTTATGCTAAAAATCATGGGCCATTTTTCAGCTTCCCTTAAAGAATGGAAAAACATGTGTCTGTCCCATGCCTTAAGAATAGGTATATTAGCTAGAGATGCAGCAGAGATCAGGGATATGAGAGATACAGTTCATCATCACAAGTGTTCTTGTGGAGATAAAATTATACAGAGGTGTTTTAAGAGTCATGAGAACAGCATGATTTATGAAAGTACATGAAAACAGGAATTCCTTGGCCATTCCAAGTGTCTGTGTAGGAGAATGTTTACATTTCTTACTCTTAGCAGAAAGCACACTTCCTAGAAAGAACATCTAATGAGTATGGAAAGAGGATAAGGTGTGCTGCTGAAGGCACCAGTTACAAGGTTTCAGAAGAATGTCTGAGGGATCAAAAAGAAGAATTCATGTTCCAATGGAAATGTGAAAGTTCTGGGGCAAAAAAATTGTTATGAGGCATTGGACATGAATAAAGGAGAAAATTGTAATTTCTCAGTGTAATTTTGTTTTAAATCAGTGCCTTATTTATTTATACAGCTCTGAGCCTGAGACTTAAACTTAGCTGTGGCATCCAGAATGTTCTTTAAATTTCTCAGTTATTAGGGATTAATAACTAACAATTAATATTAAGCAGCTGAATAACATTTTTGGACCTTGAAAGATAAGACAGCTCCAGAAGTCTCTTCTAACCATCATCTCCATGTTACAATGATGTTCTGCCCCAGATTCACAGAGTCCAAGTTTGAGTCAGATCTCCTGAGGCTGATCAGCTCAGTAAGGGGAGCAGAAACCTTGGCTGATGTACATATGATGCTGTCCCAGATGAGCTGGCAGAAAACTAGAAAAAAACACTCATGAAAGATTTATCAAAGCAGCCCTAAACAGGAGTTCCATAGAGGTAACCCACAACTCATACAGGAGAATGAGCCACCCAAATCATTAGTTAATCCTGCAGTTCTGAAAATCTCTGGCTAAGGTTCAGCCCTTTGACTCCAAGTCCATCAATACAGGGAAGTGCAGTGGTCTAAGGCACCCTACCCTAATTCTCTTCCTATTCTCCCATTCCAGGAATGAGAGCGTGTCCACCAAGGGCTGCTCTCATGTATTTTTTTTTTTTATCCTAGATTTTCAATATCTGCTCTGCTTCCATTAGGAGAGTACTGGTTATCAGTCCAGCAAAGAACACTCACTAGCGTGGAGAAGCTGGGCTAGGAAGTGGTCATGTCACTCCACCAAGCTAAAGAATCTCCTGAAGGAAGACCTAAGATAAATCTGCCTCTCTGAGCACACTTTCAGGTGTCTACAACCTTGGTCTTAAGACAAAGACATTCCTTCTCCACTCTGTTGAGCTACAGTTTGATTACCAAGTCAAGGTCAAATACCAATGATGGCAAGATGAGCTTTTCAGACCACTGTATGTTTTACACAATTCCCTGGACTATTAAGAGCACAGGATGTACATTTACCCAAAAGGAATTACAAGTAATATTTTATGTAAGTACATGAAGCCATGTGACTGTTTCTTGTTCACCTTTTGGGAAGTGTTGATCATATAATTGCTTCATATCCTGTGACTCATTTTTATAAATATGAAACCCAAACACACAAAAAAAATGTGTACAGAAACATATGCTTTAGTAATTGGAAAAAGGAATAATAGCTTTCTTTAAGAAGAATTTTCTTTTTCCGTGTACCAGCAGAGTATTTAAGTGGTTAGATATGGCACATACTGGTCTTTTTATAATCTGTGTTTTTCC